TCACACTCATGCCAGCCACTTTGCTCTCAGCTGCGAGACTTAGCAGCGAGCGCTGTAGATCAGTTTCACAAGGTGCAAACGAAACAAGATCTTTTGCAAACAGCAACCTTCTCGTCTTCACATCTCCTACACAAATACGTTCATCGCTTTGGCTGCTTCTGACTAATCCATCCATTTACAACAGGAAGAGCAGAGGGGACAGAACGCAGCCTTTGCGGAGACCACTATCAACACTGAAAGGACTGGACTTAACGTCATTTACTCTAACGCAGCACCTGCGCTCAGCATATAGTGATTGGATGGCCAGTACCAACTGGCCATTGATCCAGTATGACTCCAGGTATGCCAATTAATTGTTACGCGGAATCCAGTTATAGGTCTTCTCTAAGTCCACAAAGCACATAAATTGGATTAGCGAACTCCCACGATTTCTCAACAATCTGACATACGGCGAATATCTGATCACACATACCTCGACCGGGCCGGAAGCCCCACTGCTCTTCTTTTATGTTGAAGTCATTTGTTCTACGGCTGATTCTTTCTAGCACATTTGCGTAGACTTTACCCGAGAGGCTCGGTAATGTAATGCGCTGATAATTATAGCACTGCGTGTAGTCTGCCTTTCCAAACTGTGGTACTGCACCTTAGTAGAATAGCTTCCACACACTAACGTTCATAATATCATAGCTTTTGCGCTTCGTTGACGAGAGTCTAGCTCTGCCGGGTTTAGTACCTTGTGGCCTCATCAACTAGCTCTGCTGTTCCTCTCTGAGTGAAGATATTTTCCAATTTCCGACTGTATGATCCCACTGGCAGTGTCGTTCCCGTGTAACCTTATCTGACGTTCTGTAATGGCATCGGGCTGTCTGCCTCCTCCATTCTGTAGTAACAGTTACGTTGCTGACTGGTATTTTCGTCGTCATTTTATCCATCTTCAGTAGCCGTTTCCTGCTTCTACTCTCCTGACTGTTAGGTGGCGGGAAGCTTCTGATCGCCGACTTTTCACAGCTTGCCTCTGTTTCAAGGATCCTGAGCGACCCTTGGTAA